CTGTAGTTTCCTGATAGTTTCTGATTTCTTGACTGTAGTTTCTGATGTTCCTTGACTGTAGTTTCTGATGTTCCTTGACTGTAGTTTCTGATGTTCCTTGACTGTAGTTTCTGATGTTCCTTGACTGTACTTTCTGATGTTCCTTGACTGTAGTTTCTGATGTTCAGAATGAATTTTTACAAACCCTATACACTGTTACTGCTGGACGTAAATTTGTCTAGACAAATCACACAACAGCCAGGGGCTGATGGGATTGGCTCTGCACTTCCTGTCAAGGATACGCAACTAACCTATTCACTCTTGGGAAGGAGAACTGTCATCTGCATATTTCAGTTCTGGGACAGGTCAGCCTCCACTTGTGAGCTGATCAAAACTGTTGCAGGGGTCTTTTCACTAGTTGTATTTCTCCCAATCTTTTCAATATTTATATACACAGATCATCTAGATATCTTTTTGTTTTTTCCATCTGCTGTCCACCGAAGAACTGTTTTCACCAAAGATCATAAGGCAATCTGCAAACATGTCTAAGCCCTGTCCGTCTTCTTCATTTGATAACTTTTGCCAGTGATAAACATTTTGTTTTTTCTTGATCATTTGTGATCTTGTTTGGATGAATATTCACAGGATTCTCCTTAGATATTTATTTTGAAAAGCCTGTAGTTTATTTGTAATTCTCTCTTTCATTTCCCAATACTTACTATTGTGTATGTATAATGGTATTCCGAGAATGTTGCTGATATATATATATATATATATATATATATATACTTAGTCTTTAAACTAAATCCTTTTCATTTCTATATACAGTTAAGCATGGTAAATGTTTGGTTTGCTTTGTTTATTGTTGATGTTACCTCCTTTTCAGAATCTCCATCTGATGTAACTTTACTTCTGAGGTATATCACTTCTTGATCCTCTCTTGTTTCATGGTGTTTATTTTAATTGGCATGTTTTAAATGTTTAATACTAGTTCATGAATGTTGTTAATGTTTGGTACATTAGTGTTTGGTACATTTGTGATTCTGCCATGTTTGCTGTTTGATTCTCTCACATGTTTGATATTGGCAATTTTTCTTTAGAATACTGATGCATGTTGTTTATTCCACTTTTTGTAAAATTTTATAGTCTAGGCTTTAAAAAATTTCAAATGCACCAATTATGTGAGTTTCACCTGTCTGTTATTTTGTGCTCTATACCTTTCTAGATTTGATTCTAACTGCTTTTGTGCATATATCTGCTTATGTTGTGTGCTTGTTGTGTTAATCACCTCCTTTAACTCTCAGGAATCTTTGAAGAGATGAGAAAAGTTCAAGACTTCTGTTGGCTTAACTCTTTTGGTACGTAGTTGTATATGGACCTAAACTGCATGATTGTTTGCACTCCCAGATCATCATCAGTTTCAACTTTTGAAATTAAGCTTTGTGAAGAGGAACCGTATGTGATTCATTTCCTAAATGGGTAGCAAAAGCTATTATCATTGCATATCGATATAGAAGGTCTCTAATGACATCAGTCCATCTTCTCCAAGGGTGACCTCTTGCTTTCACATCAGATCTTTTCATGTGTTGTGCCTGCGTTGGTAGTTGTTGTGACCGCATTCTAACGTGATGACCAAACCATTTCATCTTCTCTTTCTCAGTGAATTTGGTGCATGGTGTTGTTTCCACAGTCTGATAGTATCATTTCTCAGTTTGTCTAGGATGGTTAAGTAACCTTTCTCGGGTGGTTAAGTAACCTGTCCCGGATGGTTGAGTAACCTGTCTCAGATGGGTAAGTAACCTGTCTCAGATGGTTGAGTAACCTGTCTTGGATGGTTGAGTAACATGTCTCGGATGGTTAAGCCAGTTAAGTACTTTCTCCACAATTAAAGTTGACTATATAACAGATATTTCCAACAGTTGTATCCCTTCCTTTATCGTGGCACAGTGCCTTCACTGTCCTAGTTTTATTTGTATGAAAAGTTTTTTTTTAAATTTATTATAACGGAAGGCAGGAAGATACCCTAGATCACTTTAAATTTTCTCAAAGATAGATTACAAAATATAATTATCTCAGTGAGGGCTTTATTTTCTTGTGGTACACAGTACGCTTTTTTTAGTGCTACTGTAAATTAATAGACACATTGTGGTGAGTACCAGCACCTTTTTCTGTCTAGGAAAAAATTACTCATCACAGTTATTTTAAAAGAACACTTAAAACATAAAATTTAATTTATATTCTTCCCCGTGTTGGTTCCTGGGCCTATTGTGGGGACAACAAGAATAGACCCACTGCCTCCCCATCAAGCATGTCGTAGGAGTCGACTAATTGGGGGGCTACTTTCGAAGTCAGAGTACATTTGCCCGAGAGGCAAGGAACAACCAACTGCATGCAAAAAAATCAGTAAAATGGATGTACACGCGAAACCCAGGCCTCGCTCAGAGCCAGAGTCCAATGGATGAAAAACCAGGATTTTCCGATGGAGCTTACAGCCTATTGTAATTACTACATAATCTGTGCAATAACAAACAACAAGAAGTAACTGACAAGCATAAATATCCAATATCGAAATAGCCAAAATTATCTGTTATGTTAAAGAGTCATTTAATTCTTACTAACCTGGCAACATCTGCCTGCAGTTTAATTCAAAATGATTTAGGTTTGAAGCTAAACTTTGCCACTGGATGAGATAGTCTTCTTATTCTTCTTCTTGGCTCTGACTGGCTGGAAATTCTAGCAGAAAATTCTGGTTGTTCATCCCCACTTTAGTCTTGTTCTGGAAATTTTACACGCACTTCTATTTTACAGATCTGTTTTATTTGTATGCAGATTTTTTTTTCCTCATCTGTTGGGCAGATGCACTCTGACTTCGAAGGAAGCAACTGTAATAGGTTGACTTTTACAAAATGCTTGTTAAGGGGTGCCAGGCAATTTTGTTTAAAATCTTTTAATAAAATTGGGTTCTGGAACCCACACTGGGGGGGGGGGGGGGGGGGGGGGGGTTGCAGTCAGTCTAATCTCACCTCTTTAAGTTGCCTCTTTGGATGGCAAGTTTCAATGCTATTATTATTCTGTCTCTTTATCTCTCTGGTTTTTTTGTTGTTGCAACTATGGATTATGGCAATAGACCGGCCTATATTGTAGATTTTAAATGTGCTACCATTGTTTCAGAAGTTATTAAGCTGTTTCTTAAATTTCAAGCCTTGTAGTTATCTGATATACTGAAGACGGAAGCTATATGTTGTTATGATTCTTTTGTTAAAATGACAAAAGTACTATGTTGTTGTTATTATTCTTTAAATGGTAAATTAAGAATCGTCATCACATCCCTTGGGACACTCCCATAAGCACTCTGTCCCTATCGTCAGCAGCAAGCAAAGAGTTAAAATTCTGATGGTACCAGTAACTGTCTGATCGTATATCCGTCTCGCCTTTCCACTGCGTGTCGAGCGTCGGCCAGGTCCCCTTGTAACTCCTCGCAAAGCTATTCTCCTCAGACCATAATGATTACTATAATATTCTTTTTACTTGTTTTTTTTTCAACTCTGGATTTTGGTAAAACACAGGCATAAAACTATTGTAGCTTTAATGTGTGCGTCTTAATAGCCCACACCATTAAGCAATTTATTGCATTTGAAGCCATGTAGATATCTGATATAATGAGGACAAAGACGATATATTGCACAACTAGTTATTGGCACCTTTCCTTTTTTTTTTTTTTAAACAGACAATAGTATTACATTGGTGAGGCAAGGGGTTGTTTATTTCCCGGCCGGCATTTCCCGGCCGGCATCAGTTTCGGACATCCTAGAGTGGCAACTGTGTTAAACTAGTCTGAATGTGATAGTCTAGTTCAAGTGTGACCTTCTAGGAAGTTTGAAAACACTGTGACTGGTCCAACAAACCGACAGTGGCTTACTTGCTGCTCATAGACATTGAAGAGATCTCAAGAACCGACTAGAATGAAAGTGACACTAACCAAGATCTTTTCCTGCCCTGATGCTGTGAGGCATTCCAGTAGAGAAAAGAAGAAGAATCATTATATTCATATTAGATTACCATTTTTGCATCCAGCCCAGTATGGCAGAAAGGCATGGCAAAATGTTTAGCTTCGGGGTTATTTTTGCTACTGAAAGTGCTTTGCTAATGCAGTTTCCACATGAGTTATGAGTTGGATTATCTTTACCGCACTGCGGACACATGCATAGGTTCTTAGGTTCTCCCCCTCAACATATTCATCAGCGTCGCATGGTTCATAGTGCCAGTCCTTTGCTGGTTGACAAGACTTTGTGTGTGTCCGGTGTGTTTCTCATGCTTGGCTGGGCCAATCTTTACTTCCAGTTCTCATATTCTTAGCAGTGATGTGGACACATTGCTCCAAAATCCTCGAACTTCCTATCTCTCTAAGGGCATTAACAGTGTCTGCTTGACCCATGGGCCGGCCATCTTCAATTAATGCTGCATCTGCCAGTCTATTAGCTCTTTCATTACCAACAACACCTGCATACGTAGGACAGATATGATGGTAACTGCACACACAGGAGAGTTTTGCAATGACTCATTCCACTGTCTGTGTAACCAGCCTGCCTTATCATGCTCAAAGAATCACTTAACACACATGCTGGAATAGTCCTGTCATTCTAGGCACATTAAAGCTTGTATCACCCCCATCACAATACTGCTGGTAGTCATGGAGAAGGCACTGCTGGCTTCTTGAACTGTTCTGCCTGAAGAGCGGGCTGTAAATTCTGTAAGTGCAGATACACTTGGACTTCAGAGGTAACACCCCTAATTAGTCAGCTGTTCTGACATGTTTTTATGGGGATAGTGAATCTGTTCTTTTCCTCCACAAGAGGACCCGTAACACATACAGGGATTTTCGCTAATTGACTTCCGTGTCTCAGGTTTGACTCTGTACTGAAATCTATTTCTCATCTCAGTTTACAAAGATAGATTGTTTAGAATATTGTTTGAGAACTGAAAATCATAATAATTATGTATTGTTTTATTTCTAACTTTAGGTACAACTCATGAAGACAGTGTTGTTGGAAACATTAGACAAGAAGAAAATGGTTTGCTGGGGCGTGAAGTTGAGTTTGGAACTTTAAAAGTGGATGTTTCCCACATAGACCTTACCACTGTCAGCCACACATCACCACAAGACTTCAGCTCAGCAGCAAATGGTTCTGGGTTTACAGAGATGGATATTACAAACTCACTCCCACGTCATGTCCACTACAACACACAGCGACAGGAGAATCAAATGAACAATTGTTTCATAAGTTCAGTAAGTAGTCCAGCATATAATGGTGGTTGTTCTTCTGATCAGTCAACCTTGGATACAAATTTTTCCATGCATAATTTTACCTCAGCCAGCATGACATCCGCCTTTCCATCATCCCCTGGAAATATGCAGATGTCACAACCAAGTGTGGATATACACCTTTTGCCCACAGTTGTAAATGATGATGATGCCAAAGAATGTAAGAAACAGGCCTGTCGGCAGGGGGGCAGCAAAGGAAAAATTCAGAACAGCAATGTTAAGAAACATCGTTCCTCTTCGAGATCTACAATAAAACCTGTGGTGATGATACCAAATGGAGGTCAGAGTTCAAGTACATCTTTTGAGGTCACTCCTGTTAGCCTGCTTAATCAGATCTGTACTGTATATGCAGATGCAGAAAGCTATATTGTTGATCTTCCAATGGACAGTTCTTTGAATCAGGACAACACCTTAAATATTGGTGGCATAGATGCTGCGCAGCTGTTTGAGAGTATGTTACAACAGAGAGCCACCATCTTGCAGCTGAGTCCAGATTCTGGTGTAGGAGACCAGAGTCCATCTCCTCAGTCCATCTGGAAGAGCCATCCTCTTTCAAGTGTTTTCCAAAATGGTTCAGACATACTGGACACAACTGATCTGTCCCATGTTTAGAGAGATGCTTCAAGCAAACACTAATTCATTCTTTGTGTCCCAGACAACTTAACATCTGTGACTGCATTTTTACTCATATATTATTACTCAAAATATTACTATGTTTGTACATTGTTAGACATTGCTTGCAAACAAACTTATCAACTTCTTAATCAAAGCAGTTGTCATTATGTTCTTCTTCAGCATTTGCCAGACCTTGTCCATAAGCTTAGGCTGTTGTGTTTTGCCATCTCACACCATCACGCAACAAGTCAGAGTTCTTGTCTTGCCCCCATCTGTACGGCTAAGCTTCCATTTGTTTATCTCTTTGCTATCCTTTTACTATCTGTCCATCAATCTTACCGGTTGTTAGCAAGTTGTCAGGGACTAATGTTGAATCAACATCAAAGCACTCAGCAAGCTAAAAGTCCCGATTCCAATGGCACCAGTAACTGATTGGACATTTCTGGACTCTAGCCCTGTTTCAGAACATAAGTCTTGCGTATACATCCGTTTTACAGGTCTGACCTATTTGCATGCAGACTGTTGGTTCCTTGCCTCTCAGGCAGATGTACTCCGACTTCAAAGGAAGCTTCCAATTAGTCGTCTCTTAGGACATGCTTTTGGGCAGGCAGTGGGTCTATTCTTATTTTCCCCCACAATGGGACCCCGGAACTCACACGGGGAACTTTAAAAAAATAATTTTCATGTATAATAGTATATATTAGAGCTCCGATGGTGTAGCAGCTAGAATTCATAGGTTCAAATCTGAACGGAGCTGGGACTTTTTAAAAAAAATGACCTTAGCTCCCAGGTCGACCCAACCTCAAATGGGAACCAGGAAAAGTCTGAGGAAGTAAAGGCAGCTGGCATGTTGTTGACCACCGAAGTGCTGATTGGTCTATAAAATAAAGGTCTAGTTTCACATTCCACTGCTTGCTATAGGTCTACATTTACAGTTGATTATTTTGATATTGATCTTCTTCTTCTTCGCGTTTACTGGCTGTGAACTCCAGCGGAAAGTTCTTGTTGTTCGTCCACTTCTGGACTGCAGTCCTGTTCCAGAACCTGAGTGTTGCGTGTGCATCTGTTTGACAGATCTGTATGCAGACTGTTGGTTCCTTGCCTTTCAGGCAGATGCACTCCGACTTCAAACGAAGCTCCAAATTAGTCGACTCTTACGACATGCTTTTGGGTAGGCAGTGGGTCTATTCTTGTTTTTCCCATAGTAGGGCCCCGGAACCCACACTGGGGTTTGATATTAATGTTTCTTCTTCTTCTTCTTCTTCACTTCCTCTTTTACCGCTGTGGGTGTCGAGGGAGATATAAGGTTCTGTTTCTAGCTCTTCTGGCTGCCTCGACCATAGGCACATCGTGCTGTTGTAGAGTTTCTCTGATGTTATCCTTCCATCTTGTTCTTGGTCTACCCCGTGCTTTACGTCCTTCTTCTCTTTCCATGTATGCTTTGTATGGTATGGTGTCACAAGGCATTCTCTCTAAGTGGGCAAACCATTTCACTTGCTGTTTTGTATGTAATCCAGAATTGGTTCTGTGCCGACTTGTTCTCTTATGATCTCATTCCTGATCTTATCTCTTATGGTAATTATATTAATGTTTACTGGGTTGTATTTTTGCAGATGCTTTCTCTGTATTCATAGTTCTATGTCCGAAGGGGCGATAAAAGGTCCTTCTCATGGTATGTATAGTAAGTTAGGTCCCTTTCCCCTGCCTTCAGGGCTGTTGGTAATATACGGCTAGAACTATATTTTTTTTAGACTAATCGGCACTTGGTGGGTGATGTGGGCAGTATCATGCTGGCCACCTTTACTTTCCAGGACTGCTCCTGGTACCCACTGAAGGCTGGGTTCACCTGGGAGTCATGTCCTTTTTGAAAAAAGTTCGGCTCTGTCAGGACACGAACCTAGGACCTTGCGATCCATAGTAGGTATAGGCTTTAGCTAAATATAAACGTATGTAAATATAATTAGTGGAAGAAGCAGAAGAAGAAGAAACTGAACAGTGAGGGACATTTTGGTGCAATTTTCAGTAGCACAGAAACGACAGCTTGGAGTGGCTGCTGCATTGAAGGACTGAGCACACATGGGAATGCCCAGTGTGCAGTGACGTCGATTGTGATTACATAACATTATGTAAATATAGACTTAATGATACTCCCACATCCTGCTTACTCTGCAGAACTGGTAAATACAAGCAGTTTTGGGCACTTTTAGTAGTATTCACTGACAGTGTCCATGTATGTTGTGCAAAACAGTTGATGAGTTCCTATTTTTATGTGTGTTTTTTTCAGTACCTTTGCACCCCAAACTGTGTTCATAACCAAAGTATTCCGTGTCTGGTTGTTGGCCATGAGTTGGATTAACCTTAGACCATTCTCACTTACACTTGCCTTATAAATTACTTTACATTTGTGCTGTTATGTACCGGGTGTCCCAAAAGTTACCTTGCATAGGAACAATAAACATATCATCATCATCATCAGGTGCCTTGCCGTCTGGTGTGGGCAATCATGCCGCTCCACAATCTGCAATCTCATATCAAGAAGCATGTTTATTTGTGACTCCACTGCTGAAGAGCACGTATAACACAGCTAGAGTTATGTTTATAATGACGTTGGGGTCGCGTTAGCACAGTCGATATGAGACTTGCTTTCAAATCCAGCTGTAACTCGCTGCAGCCCACGGTCAGTGTTCGAAACTGGGTGGTTCCCAGGGCTCACCCAGCCTCTAGGAAATTGGTACCAGAGTGATACTCTGGGATAAACGGAGGAACATCGCTGTAGCTACGGAGTTATGTACAGACGGTGACACAGGCGGACAGTTTCTAATCAGCTATCCGTACTGGTGGCAGAGCACTTATGGTAATTAACTGTGTGCAATGACGCTGGTTCACATCTCCAGACTTTACCCTTTACCTTTTTATGACGCTGGTTATACATTTATTCTTCTAATGCATGGAAACTTTTAGGACACCCTGTTGATGTTGCGTTACTTGTATATAAATTTGCCATTAACTCTTTGAGTCTCAGGGGGTTTAGCATCACAGGCCCAGGGGGTAGTAAAGAAAGTAATAAATTTGGCGCATCTTGCGTTCATTGGGCTTCTAGGTAGGAACCTATGAACGTATGATGCGTTCCTTGGGCCTCTAGGTAGGAACCTATTAACGTATGATGCGTTCCTTGGGCCTCTAGGTAGGAACCTATGAACGTATGATGCATTCCTTGGGCTTCTAGGTAGGAACCTATGAACGTATGATGCGTTCCTTGGGCTTCTAGGTAGGAACCTATGAACGTATGATGCGTTCCTTGGGCTTCTAGGTAGGAACCTATGGACGTATGATGCGTTCCTTGGGCTTCTAGGTAGGAACCTATGGACGTATGATGCGTTCCTTGGGCTTCTAGGTAGGAACCTACGAACGTATGATGCGTTCCTTGAGACTCAAAGAGTTCAGCTTGTGAAGCTTACTACAAAAGATGTTTACTTATATAAGATGACCTCCTTAGCGATAGCCTGAAGTATTTGCAGGCCTAACACTTCACATTCCACTGCTTGCCATGGATCTACATTTACAGTTGATTATATTTATATTGTTGTTTACTGGACTGTATTTTTGCAGATGTTTTTTCTATAGTAATAGTTTAAGTCGAGGTTTCAACTTCATTGCAAATAGGTCGCCCCTTAGTTACTCGTTTCTGTGCTAGTGGAAATAGCACAAAATGTCCATGACTGTCCCATTTCTTCTTCTACTTCTTCTTTTTCTTCTTTTTCCTCTTCTTCTTCTTCTTTTTCTTCTTCTTCTTCTTTTTCTTCTTCTTCTTCTTCTTCTTCTTCTTCTTTTTCCTCTTCTTCTTCTTCTTTTTCTTCTTCTTCTTCTTCTTTTTCTTCTTCTTCTTCTTCTACTTCTTCTTCTTCTTTTTCTTATTCTTCTTTTTCTTCTTCTTCTTCTTTTTCTTCTTCTTCTTCTTTTTCTTCTTCTTTTTCTTCTTCTTCTTTTTCTTCTTCTTCTTTTTCTTCTTCTTTTTCTTCTACTTCTTCTTCTTCTTCTTTTTCTTCTTCTTTTTCTTCTTTTTCTTCTTCTTTTTCTTCTTCTACTTCTTCTTCTTCTTCTTCCTCTTTTTCTTCTTCCTCTTTTTCTTCTTCTTCTTTTTCTTCTTCTTCTTCTTTTTCTTCTTCTTCTTCTTCTTTTTCTTCTTCTTCTTTTTCTTCTTCTTTTTCTTCTTCTTCTTCTTCTTCTTCTTCTTCTTCTTTCTTCTTCTTCTTCTTCTTCTTCTTCTTCTTCTTCTTCTTCTTCTTCTTCTACTTCTTCTTCTTCTTCTTTTTCTTCTTCTTCTTCTTCTACTTCTTCTTCTTCTTTTTCTTCTTCTTTTTCTTCTTCTTTTTCCTCTTTTTCTTCTTCTTCTTTTTCTTCTTCTTCTTCTTCTTCTTCTTCTTCTTCTTCTACTTCTTCTTCTTTTTCTTCTTCTTCTTTTACTTCTTCTTCTTTTTCTTCTTCTTCTTCTTCTTCTTCTTTTTCTTCTTCTTCTTCTTTTTCTTCTTCTTTTTCTTCTTCTACTTCTTTTTCTTCTTCTTCTTCTTCTTTTTCTTCTTCTTCTTCTTCTTCTTCTTTTTTTTCTTTTTCTTCACATTGGCACTGTAAACTCTAGCATAAAGTTATGGGTGTTTGTTCACCTGAGGAATTCAATTTAGTCTTGTTCCAGAACCTGAGTTGTGTGTGGATACCTGTTTCCCACATCTGGCTTATTTGTATGCAGACTTTTGATTCCTTGCCCCTGAGGTACTCCGTCTTTGAAAGGTGGTCCCGGTGAATTGACTCCTGTGACCTGCTTGTCGGGGAAGCAGTGGGTCTGGTCTTGTTTTCCCCCACAATGGGACCCTGGAACCCACACTTGGAACTTTTCCATTTGAAAACTAGTGAAAAAACAATTAATCCCGACAAAATCCCAAAAACGTGCACATGCTCACACTAAATGCATGAGGCTGCTGCTAGACCTGCCAGCACCAACA